TATAATATGACTCCTTTAAAAGTGTCCTGTGGAACTTCTTGAAATCAAAAAACTTTGACATTTTGTGGTGGTACCTGATTTTTTTCATTTTTCTGTGATAAACGGGGCTCATTTGGACAGTTTTCTATTCCCTATCATTTCTCTTTTGGGGGAAACGTGGGTCTGGTGGGCCACATTTACGGGGAGAGCTTTTTTGGCTTTCCCTCGTCTTTCCTTTCGCCGATAACGGGGAAGTGCCACTGATGGTGTTTTGACGCCCAGATAAGTGACGGCGCGACAGCTCAGAACAATGGGGAACTCTGAGGGGCTTCGCGTTACTCAGGGAGAGTTTTCTCAGGATTCTCACCTGCTGCACAGGTTCAGCTCCCTGTAGCTAAACGCATTCCTGACGATGATCAAAGTCCCAGATCTTCTTTGTCGGGTCCAGGACGGGACAGCACATCTGGATTGAAGCATCTTTTCCTCTAAATAAGTGGTGTGAACTAGAGAGGGAAGCTAATACAGACCACATATAGACCACTTATGTCCACCCTGCATGCTCCAAATGATCCATAACAATTTAATAAGTGAATTAACCCTTTAAAGCCTGATCCAAGAATAAAACAAAACAGAAAATTACTTTATTTGGTTAGAATTCCTTATTTGGCCTTTTAACAAAATATGTAAACAGAAAAAACAGAAATACTTTCGTCTCCACCGGTAATAATTTATTACTATGCGATAGGTCAAGATTATTTTTTGTGTAGTCTTCTGCCCCCTGTTATCAGGTGTATCTGATTGTGTCCAATAGGATTTTAAACAAAGTTTTTACCATTAAATTATGCAAAAGGTGTCAGACGCAAAACATTTCAGAAACCGTATGAATCAAATATGATACATTTGGCATTACAGGGTTAAAAAACAAGCTAAAATGTAAAGATAGACCTAATCAGCAACTTCCTCTGGACAAATAAAGCTTTTTAAATCGTTGCCTTTTGAATCTTGAGTCCTTTTCTCTTATGAAATGTCTGTGACAGATCGGCGGGGGCAGGAACATCAACGCCGTGGTGACCAAGGTGGCGGTGGGGGCCATCGAGGAGTCGCGGCAGCTCCGGATCCAGCCCTTCAACCAGTACAGGAAGCGCTTCAACCTGGAGCCGTACACCTCCTTCAGCCAGTTCACCGGTAAGACGTCCAAAGGCCCCCCCCTCCAGTTTCAAGCATCGATCCACTGGGTTGATGAGTAGTCTGTATCGTGCTTTGCGGCATATTTTTGTTAAAAAACAACAACAATACAATAAATAAATAATAAATAATAACTCATTGGCTGCCAAAGACGTCTACAGACGTGGCTGGTGACGATCTGCTAAAGCTTTTCCGTAAATATCAGGCTTCTAGACAGAGTATGTAGTAACAAATTGACCCTCTAGGTGGCAGTGCCACTTTTGATGGGAGATGAGCATAGACTGTAGGCAAATAAGAAAAAGCTAACGGTTCTATGAGAGAACATGTC